GTCTCCCAGTCCGGGAAGTTCCCTCCTGCCAGGCTCTGGCTGCTGCCAGCCAGGGCCAGGCCAATGCTGGGAGGCTGCTGGGAGCAGCCCCGGGTGGGAAGAAGGCTTCCTTGGGTTTCTGCTCAGGATGAGGGCAATCACTGCACTGGAAAAAGAAGGAGGGGAGGGGTGTTTAGACAATGGCTGCTGAGGAGAGGCTGAGAGTCACAGGAGAGGGCAGCAGAACCTTCTGGAGCCTTCTATTTAGTCCTTCAAGTTTTACCCCTCATCCCATTCTTTTCATGCTCTACTGTAGAATTCCTATTTCTTTTTTTAAAAAATATTTTTTCAGTTGTCAATGTACCTTTATTTTATTTATAAGTGATGCTAAGAATCAAACCCAGTGCCTCACACATGCAAGGCAAGCGCTCTACCACTGAGCTACAGCCCCACCCTATTTCTTTAAGGCAGGAAAAGGAAGAGAAAGAGGCTTCCCCCTAATGTATGGGAAGGGAGCTAAGTGGCTCTCTTCATTGGGCAGCCAAGTAAGGAACTTACAGCAGGAAGGCTAAATGCATTTGGTTCATTCAGGCCATGGAATATCCGTCAGCCCTGGAGACAAAAGAGATACATTTACATGTGTGGAGGGGAAAAGATCACTAAGATATTTTAAAGTGGGAAAAAAATGCACTACCTGTCTGTACAGCTTAATTTAAAATAAAAATGATGTGCATGTGTACACACGTGTTTGTCTATCTCTGCAAAGAGGCCTGAAACTAGGCACCCCAAACTATTCTTGGGATGACCTCTGTGCTCTGGGAGTGGAGAGGGGAGAAGGTGTGTGTTCTTGTTTTATTCTCTATAGGCCTGAAATGCCTGGTTCTTTTAAGCTCTTTTGTTTTTTCCAGCACCAGTATTGAATACAGGGATGCTCTATCACTGAGTTACCCATTTCCAGCTCTTGTTAATTTTTTTTTTTTTCAGATGAGTTCTCCATATATTGCCCAGACTGGCTTCAGACTTGGAATCCTCCTGCCTCAGCCTCCTGAGTAGCTGTGATTACAGGCTATGCTACTGCACCTGGCTATAAACATTTTAATATCAATTTGATAATTAAAACAAATACATAGCATGGATGGTGGGAGGAGACCCTCATCATTATACAAAATACATATATGAAGATGTGAATTTGGTGTCAACATACCTTATATACAATCAGAGATATGATAAATTGTGGTATAAAGGTGTATTAAGAATTGTAATGCAAAAAAAATAATAATAGACTCTTGTATAATGGCATAATTTGGAGTGAACATACTTTATATACAGAGTTACAAAAAATGGTATTGTGAATGGATAATTATGATTGTAATGCATTCCACTGTTGTCATGTATGTAAAAAACCTTTAATGTCAATATCCTATTAAAATATTAATTTAGACTTTCAAAAAAAAATACATAGCAAGAAATACTGCAAAAGAGAAAGAAAGAATGGGATAGAGGAGGATGTGGGAGTTACAGTAACTTTAAGAAAATAGATTCCTAAACTTAAGTTGTTAAGATTCTTGAATCAGCTGGGCATGGTGACTCACACCTGTAATCCCAGCAACTGGGGAGGCTGAGGCAGGAGGATCACAAGTTCAAAGCCAGATTCAGCAACTTAGTGAGGCCCTAAGCATCTCAGCAAGATCATGTCTAAATAAAATATTTAAAAAGGGATGGGGATGTTGCTCAGTGGTTAAGCACCCTTGGATTCAATCCCCAGTACAAAAATAAATAAGTAAATCTTGAATCAGGCCAGGTATGGTGGTACACTCTCAGTAACTTGGGAGGCTAAGGCAGGAGGATCACAAATTCAAAACTTCAGAGCCAGCTTCGGGGGAGGGATCACAAGTTCTAAGCTAGTCTCAGCAAATTAGTGAACCCTGTCTCAAACAAAAAATTTTTTAAAAGGTCTCGGAATGTGTCTCAGTGGTTAAGTGCCCCTGAGTTCAATTCCCAGTTATGTATAAACAAACAAACAAACAATACAGTTTGTGGGCTGGGGATGTAGCTCCTTGGTAGCTCAGAGGGAGAGCATTTGCCTAGTATGCTGATGCTCTGTGTTCCATCCCCAGCATCTCTCTCTCACACACACATACACACACACACACACACACACACACACACGCTCAACTAATTGTGACCTTCTAAGTAGATTTCATGAGCACCAATGGCATCCAAACAGTAGTCTAGAAAAACTTCCCAAACTGCTAGGGCTCCAGGTCTCCTGGAGAAGGTTGGACATCAAGCCCCCTGGGACCCATGGCCTCAGTAGAACTCTTTTGTCTTCAGTTTCAAGTCCCTGAAGGCACAGAGTAATGTCCTTTACGACATGACCGCTGGGTGGCAGCTCTGGCTGCATTTCCCATCAATGCAGACTCGGCCCAAAGGTTTACCTTTCCAACCACTTAGGAATCAAAACGGAACCGCTGCTTACCTACCCCCACCTCAGGGGCCTCCTAAACTGAGAGGCATTACAGGCAGCCCCCTAATAGAAAAAAAAAAAGAGGAAGAACCCATCGCACTCCTTAAGAGGGGTCCGGACCTCCTCCCCCAACAGTCAGGAACTGCAAGCAAATCCTAGCCAAGCTCAAAACTCCAATCCTCACCAGCTGTGTGGTCTTGGGCAAGTTCCTTAACTTCTATTTCCTATTTTATTTCTGTAATTTTTTTTTTTTAAAACAGGGATTGAACCCAGGGGCATTCAACCACTGAGCCACATCCCCAGCTCCCTTTAGTTTCTATTTTGAGGCACAGTCTCACTAAATTGTTGAGGCTGGCCCCCAACCTGTGATTCTCCTGTCTCAGCCTCCGGAGTTGCTGGGATTACAGACTTGCGCCACCACGCCCAGCCTCTGTCAAGGAGTTGTAAAGGTAAAATGGGTTAATAAATCCAGAGTCCAAGAAAAGAGCCGGCGGTTGGTACTCACAAGCTGTTATTACACTGATTTCCCTCCAGATTCCTCCCACTGTGGAGGTTGGGTGGGCGGCGGGAAGTGCTTTGCAGGTCGATTAACTGCAGAAACGCCTAGAAGTCCGGGGAGCGCATTTTCCACCCTCCCCCCTACCTGGAGGTGGAGTGTGGCGGCACCGATGGGGCCGATAAGCCACGACTCCAGGTCCAGGGTGAGCTCGCCCGGCAGCCTGGTCTCTGCCTAGGCATGACCCCACCCCTGCCGTACCCCTGGGCACCCCACTCAACCAGGCCTATCTCAGCCCTCACTGGCCCCCCAGGCCAGGCCCACCTCCCTCTGTCCCCTCGGGCCGAGTGGAACACTCACTCTGTAGACCCAGGAGAACAACCTAACCGCCGCTGGGGAGGTGAGGGCGGCCCCTGCCACTTCCCCTTGCTCTTGTCCACCAAGGACACCTCCTCTTCTGTTTCTAAGCAGCTTCCAGGTGTTGGTGCTGGTTGCAAGGCCACACCTCTCCCCAGGGGCCCTCAGCCTCCCTCGTCCCACCGAAAAGCATCTTAACGCACTCTCCAAAACGCTTTCCTAATTCTTTCTCCTCACACACCCAGAACCAGCCTGTTCCCAACATCTGGGCCCCCAGGCCAGCACCTTCTACTTTCGCATCTCCTCAATATTAGGGCATGATATTTTCTATTAGAAACCTGAAAGTAGCTTTTAGAAATATTAAAAGGCCACTCCTGCAAAAGCGCCCCCATTTCTTTTGGAATTGCCATGATTGACACACAGAGTGGGAATGGAAATATTGAGAAGCAGCCCTGACATTTGAAAGTGAATACAGTCCTCCATTGTAGTGGCACAACCTGTATTCTCAGCGACTGGTAGAATGACCTCCAGTTCTTGTCCAACCTCAGCAATTTAGCAAGACCCCATCTTAAAAAATAAAAAAGGTCAGAGGAGTAGCTGAGTGGAAGAGCGCCCCTGGGTTCAATTCCCAATATAAAATAAAAAATGAATACCACAAAATTAACTCTTTTTGTGGTAAACAGTTTTATGAGTTTTGTTTTGTTCTTTTAGTGTACTGGAAATTGAACCCAGGGGTGCTCTTCCACTATGCTACATCCTCAGTCCTTTTACTTATTTATTTTTGAGATACAGTCTTGCTAATTTGCTGAGGCTGAGGCTCCACTTGAGATTCTTCTGACTCAGCCCCCCTAGTCCCTAGGATTACAGGCCTGCATCACCAAGCCCAGATAGTTTTTTTTTTTTAGAGTTTTTGACAAATGCAAAGAACCTTGTAACCACCATTTAATTCAAGATCTAGGCTGAGCATGGTAATGCACACCTGCAATTCCAGCTATTCTGGAGGATGAGGCAGGAGGATAGAAGTTCCAAGCCAGCCTGAGCAACTTAGTCAGATACTGTTGCAAAATAAAATACAAAAAGGGCTGGGTTGCAGCTCAGTGGTAGAGTTCCCCAGTATTACAAAATACAATAAATGGGGCTGGGGATGTGGCTCAAGTGGTAGCGTGCTCGACTAGCATGTGTGAGGCACTGGGTTTGATTCTCAGCACCACATAAAAAAAAAAAAAAACCCTAAAAATAAAAAAATACAATAAGTGTTAAAAAAATAAAGATGCAGAACAGTTCCATCACCCCCTATTTCCTTCTACAGTCTCATCCCTCAACTTCTTTTCCACCCCAATCCCTGGCAACACTCAGCTGTTCTGCCCATGATGTCACCTAATGGAATGCTACCAGGAGCAGCCTTTTGAGTCTGGCTTCTTTCACTCCACAACACATATTTGAGACCATTCAAGTTGTTGTATGTATTGATAGTTTCTTCCTTTTTATTGCTGAGTAGTGTTCCATTGTATGATCGTACCACAGTTGTTTACCCATTATGGCTGACATTTGTTTGGATCATTTCCAGTTCTGGGCTACTATAAATAAAGCAGCTACATGTACATTGGTGTACAGACTTTTTGTCAGAACAAAAGTTTTCATTTGTCTTGGCCAAATACCAGAGAGTGAGTTTGTTAGGTCATATAGTAAGTTAGAAAAAGAAACTTTCAGTTCCTAAGTGTGATGATTGGGTGTTCATGCTGTTGTGTGAGATGTGCCTCCCTCTGAACCTTGTTATGATGCCAACATGTTACCTATCTGACGTGGGGGAAAAAAAGGAAATTAAGAAAATGAGCAAATATCTTTCTCGGTCTTCTAGCTCCCCAGGTAATTTCATTATCCTTTACTTTAATATTTTTTAAAAGATGGTATGCATGGAGAGGCAGGCACATTTTTTTTTTAACTGATCAACTTCTTGCTCATTCTGTGTGACAAAACCCTGAACTTGATTCACCATTTGGCTGCCTTCCCTGGCTCTGTTTAAGGAGCTATCCTTGGGGGTCCTTGTGCCCCCTACTCCATGTTCATATCTATACTGTTCCCCTTACCCCCTACTCTCTCCTCTCACTAATCAGTTACCCTTCCCAGACTGTTTCTCATAACCAACACCCTGGGGCTGGACTCCCCTCAACAATAAAGGTTAACTTTTACTGAGCATTCACTATAGGGCCAGGCACTGCAAGAATGACCAAACATAAACCTCACATAACCTTACAAGAAAGATTCTGTCAACATTTGATAGTTAACATTCAGTAACACAGCTAATCAGCGGTGGATTTAGGATTTGGCCCCAAGCAGTTCAGAGCCTGAGCATGTGACCAGGTCACTGCACCTTCTTACCCGCTGAGATGGTCTTATAATGGGTTGTCTGGCCTCCAGACCTTATGCAATCCAAACTCCGCTTGACTCATAGATTGATTTTCCCCAAGCAAGTCTCTAATTATGTCAAAACTCCGATCAGAAGTTTTCTGTGCTCCCCAAATAATGTCCTGTTGCTGACTTGCCTTCAGCGGCCTTCATACACTGAGCCCAACCTTCCCACCAGCCTCACCTGTTCCCCTGGGGTGCCCTCCTCAATTTCATGTCTTCCTCTGGGCTTATGCATTACTCTCCTAGAGTGTTGTCACTCCATACTTCAGCCAGCTTCAGTGAAGTGCCACTTCATGTTTTAGCTAAAGCCCTCTCCTCCATGTCACCAAGAAAATTGTTGCCATAAAAGGAATTCCCTTGCCAAGTGTGGTGGCACACCCTCTAATCAGGTACCTGAGAGACAGAGATAGGAGGATGGGAAATTTTGAGGCCAGCATGGGAAATTTATCAAGACTTTGTCTCAAAATAAAAAAATAAAAATAAAAATAAAAAGGACTGTGGATGTAGCTCAGTGGTAGAGCACTCCAGAGTTCAATCTCCAGTAAAACACACACACACACACACACACACACACACACACACCAAAAAAAAAAAAAAAAAAAAGAAAAAAAAAAATAAAAAACCAAAACAGCTAGTAAGTTGGTGCATGTCTGCAATCCCAGCAATTCAGGAAGCTGAGGCAGGAGGATCCCAAGTTCAAAGCCACCCTCAGCAACTTAGCAAGACCCTGTCTCAAAATAAAAAAGGGTTGGGGATGAGGCTCAGTGATTAAGCAGGTGGCACTCGATTTCACCCACTGGGTTCAATCACTGTGTAAAATAAATAAATCCTTTAATTTTAACCTCAAAACTTTATCCCTCTTCCTTAACAAGAATCCTGTCCTCTGTGGCCCCACTTCAACCATTATTATTTTCTCATGGGTATCATTTTAGCAACTATGCTGGACTGAAACCAGTCTCAAGTTAAAATCAAACTGGATCTCATAATAATTTAATTGTAAAAACAATATTGTAGGGGCTGGGGATGTGGCTCAAGCGGTAGCCCACTCGCCTGGCATTCGTGCAGCCCGGGTTCGATCCTCAGCACCACATACAAACAAAGATGTTGTGTCCGCCGAAAATTAAAAAATAAATATTAAAAAATTCTCACTCTCTCTCTCTTAAAAAAAAAAAAAACAGTATTGCACAGTCATCCAAACTGCATTTATTTATTTTTGTCTTTTGCTCACCCCACGTGTTCCCTTCGGAGGTGGAATGAGGTGAGATTCTTCTTTCTTGTCTTGGCTTTCCTACCCTAAACAAGTGTCCATTTCACAGTCTGTTTAGTGCCACATTTTACCCTGTATTTTTGTGCTTTTTCTTGGTGGTTTCACTGTTTAAAATAGCCTCCAAGTGTAGTGCTAAAGTGCTGTCTAGTGTTCCTAAGCACAAGGCTGTCATTGCCTTACAGAGAAAATGGATTTACATTGTTAAAAATTCTAAAGATAAAAATGATATAAAGTAAAATCTTCCCTCACTTCCACTTTCCAGCTTCCCAGTTCTTTCATCATTACTATGATATCTTGTGTATCTTTTCAGAGATATTTTGTTGTGGTGGTATTAAAATATCCAAGAATTCTTTGATAATCCTCCCTTCAAGAGGTGGCACTCCATTCCACACACTGAGTGTGGGCTGGATTTAGTGATTCACTCCTAACAAATGTGATCTAGCGGATGTAGTGGTGGGCAGGCTTCCCAGACCAGGACATGAAAAGCATTGCAGCTTTCTCTCTGCTTTGCTCTGGCTTGGATCACTCATTCTGGGGGATGCCAGTTGCCATGTTGCAAGGATGCTCAAGTAGCCCTCTGGAGAGAATTTCTGGTGAGGAACTGAGGCCTCCTGCTAACAGCCATGTGAGTGTTCCATCTTGGCAGTGGATCCTCCAGCCTCTGTCAAGCCTTTGATGACAGGTTGATCTTGACTGCAATCTCATAAGAGATCTTGAGCCTGAACCACCCAGCTAAGCTGCTCCCAGATTTCTAACCTGAAGAAATTGTGGGATGATACAGTCTGTTCTCATTCTTTGCAGTAGTCGTGTTCTGTATAGTTAGTTGGCTCTCACACTGAATTAGCAGATACTCAACTGCAGTTCCTAGAGGAAATATGGGGTAGGTTCCTGTGAGCCTTTGGTCAAATGATCAATATGTTTTTGTTTCAAGACACTTTAACATATATTGTTGATTCCCTAGCATTGAATTCATTGCCAATACATTATAAATCACTGCTGAATGACTTACCTAACACATAGACGGTAATGTGCCACATAGTGCCATTTCAGTTAATGATGGATTCCATGTACAATAGTATTCCCATAAAATCACATCGCCTAGGGATGTTGTAGCCATCTTAGTTTGTGTAAGTATAGTCTATGATTTTCACACAATGACAAAATCGCCTAAGGACACATTTCCTCAGAGCCTATCCCTGTCATTAAGCAACACATGACTATATTTTCTCTGCAAGGCAATGACAGCCTTCTTGTGCTTAGCAACACTAGACAGCACTTTAGTACTACTCCTGAAGGCCATTTTATTTTTGTTTTTACTTTTTTACTTATTCTTTTGTTTATTTTGGTACTGGGGATTGAACCCAGGAGCACTTTGCCACTGAGCCACATCCCCAGCCCTTTTATTTATTTTTTAAATTTTTGAAACAGGGTCTTGTTAAGTTGCTTAGGGCCTTGCTAAGTTGCTGAGGCTGGCCTTGATCTTTTCATCCTCCTTCCTCAGTCTCCCGAGCCTCTGGAATTACAGCACCACCACACCCAGCTCAGTCCACTTTTCTTAAAAGCAGTGGTCTGCCTTTTGTGTTTTATCTCTTTGGCAAGTGCACCTCCCAAACTCCTTGTAGCTAAGTCCAACAGACATTTCCCAGGTCCCTTATTCCTCAAGGACTTCACTGCTGTTTCCCCTTCCTCCTTCCTGAGCAATCTGGGCTTCCTGCCTGCCTGTGTGCTCCCAGGGCGCTCTTTGGCAGGTCTTTCTTCCCTTTGCCCCACTTCAAAGGTGATAATCTTGAAGCTTCACCCTCCTGGGTCCTGTTCTCTCTTTACTCCACACCCTCTCTCTGGAGAGCTCACTTGTCCCCTTGGCTTCAGGTATTGTTTGTATGTTGAGGGTGCCTAACAGGTCCTATCAGCTCCTGTTGTCCCTCCTGGGAGCCAGTCTGTAGAGCAGCCATCTAATGGGCTTCTTGGCTGTCTGAAGGCACTCAGCTTGTCCTACACAGGACCATCAGCTCTTGCCTCTAGCCTCTCGGATCTGTTCTTTCCATTTCATCTCCCCAGGGGATCAACTTGAGATAAATGCCTCCCTCATCCTCAGACTCCACACTATGAAGTGCATGGAGGAGCACTCTAAATATTTATTTAACAACACAGAGGTCAGCGGGGCATGCGCCTCATGGAGCACTGGTGATTGTAAGGATGGCCAGGGGCTGGGAAAAGAGGAAAATCCAACTTCCTCGCTTCTCGAAGACCACCCTGGGGACCTATTGCTGGTGGAGGCAAAGAGACCTTATTCCGTGGTGAGAATGAAGTCCTGTTCCAGTTACAATACCAGTGTAACCACCAGAAGGAATTGTAGTTCCCTAAGTCACCAGCAGAGGGCGCACTCAGTTCACCGCTGCTCCACTTATGGACGCGTGCGCGCGACCGTGTGTGTGCGCGCGCGCTTGCTGCACAAAAGCTAAGAAAGCGGAGTTGGACTCGGGAATTATAACGCAATTGGAACTGGTTGCGGTGGCACACGCCTGTAATCCCAGCTACTTCGGGGCTGAGACAAGAGGATCTCAAGTTTGAGGCCAGCCTGGGCAATTTGACTCAAAAAATAGCAAGAGCTGGGGGTGCAGCTCACCTAGTCTCAGGCCGTTTTATGATGTATGGTCCAGAGAACAGAAAAACAACACAGAAAACCAAAGGGCTGTAGGGAAAACTGGGCCCTCAGCTGGGGAAGTTCATCCATACAGTAAAAACAAGCAAGATGTGTCATTGCATTGGAACTGAAGAAAATTTTGGTATTTGAGAGTGAGATTCTCCAGAACAGTTGTAGGGTGAAAGAGCAAAAGAGGGTTTTAGAAAGTGTGTCTTTGGGAGAGTAAGAATTGAAATGTCTTCCTGATTTCTATTTGGGGCCTAGATAACATATCTTTGGGTGGGACACTGTAGGGGTGTGTGTGTGTGTGTGTTTGGCGGTGTCCAAGGGTGCTCCGCCACTGCCTAGCTATATACCCTCAACCCTTCAATTTTGAGACAGGGTCTTGCTAAATTGCCAAGGCTGGTCTTCTTCAGATCCTCCAGCCTCATGCTCCAGAGTCACTGGGATTACAGGCATGCACTGCAGTACTTAGCTCCGGAG